AATGCCTCAGGCACACCAGAGCCTAGTTGAGGGATGCTAAGAAGGTGGCTTAGCCACAATGGGACATGTGCCAAGCAGCACAGGGCCCTGAGAAACTGTGAGGGACACTGAACTGCATTCTACAAGGTCAGGACTGGATCCTACTCTATCTTCTCCTGACTCTCTGTGCCCAGTCATTCACCTCCCGGCAACAGCCTTAGTGTGAGCAACACCCCACCCTTACTGGGAAGGAGAAGCATGGCAGCCTGGAGGAGCAGTCACTAGGCTCTCCTGCATGTGGCCAGACAGTGAAGATAGAACTTCAAAGGCCTTGGGACAGCCACTGGCCATCAGTCCACCCTTCTCCTGAACCTCCTTGGCAACCTGTGCAGTTCTCTTCCAGGGTGACTCAGCTCTCCGCCGCACCCTACCCCACCCTCCATCAAGACTCCCATTAAGAAAGCTGGTTTGATGACATCAGTGTGATTAACCTGACCTAATTTCTCTCCCAGGCTAGTCCCAGAGCCAAGAGCACCAGTCAACATAGAAATCTATTCTGTGGGCCTCAGCAAAGCCACCTGGAGAATAAACAACCCATGCCGTGTTCTTTTGCAAAAGAAAAATGGCGTACAGTGACAGCTGTATGGCCCAGACTCCTGAAGCAGGAGAAACTCAGCCATCCCTCCAGCCAGCCCTTCTCTGTCTCTGCCTCTGTCTCTGTCTCTCTCTCTCTGTCTCCCCTCTGGTTGGGATTAGGGAAGGAAAATTCTCTGTCCTGTACATCTGATAGATACTTGTTAAGTGGAGTTATGATGTTCAGGTGTTTTCCTTGGAGACAGCAGCAACCTCTGGCCATCTCATCCTATTGTCTGGCCTTACTCAGGGACACGCCAGTCTCATCTTTCTTACTGTGCTTCCTCAGGTTCACTGGTCACTCTCTGCTTCTTTGTGCACGCATTTCCTCCTACTTGAAGTAGCCTTTCCTTTGCCTTATCTAAAATACTTCTTTTTATTCTTCAAAACTCCATTTGGGGTTTAATTCTTCCAAAAGTCCCTCCTCTCCATCACTTAGACTTATTTCCGTGGGTTTAAATCTCTTATGTTCTTTCTGGGGCTTTTAAACAGGAGTCCTCAGCATCATCTGGATACTTTATAAAGAATTAATCTCCATGGCGCAATTCTCATTCAAGTTCCTCTGGTTTCTTTTGGCTTCCTGGCACACAGTGTGTTCACTGTGATTTGGAGTTTTCCAATATTATACAATCACAGTAAGGAAATTGTTCATGATTACACAATGACTCATTCTGCAAAGCAGTACGTGAAAACCTACTGGGTGCTACACAGCTTCCAGGTATTCTGGGTAGAATGTCATATGAAAGGTTCAAAGCCCTGGCCTCCTGAGGCTTTTGTTCCCTTGTCTGTCCTGACATTGTGTTATTAAAAGGATAGAGTGACATTTCCCAGGGCACTGTATTTTCCCAGATATTAGCAACCGTATTCCTGCTCTGTGGAGGTGAACCGTGAGTTTGAGATGTTTGGGAAATGTGACCTGAGTCTCTGGGAAACTGTCTAAGTTTATTCAGGGGACTCTGAGTCTACCTTGGGGCCCTAATACTCACCTTGAAGATCTCATTGGTCTTTGGCTTTCAGGGTGTGGTATTCACACTGGTGAGAACCTGGGATGTAAAAGAATGTCCCGCATGGGGGGAGGGGGTTCCTCTGGGAATGGGAAAGCGGTGCTGAAAGCAAACAGTGTGATCTTTATTTTATCACTTTTATTAACTTTTTAGGTACAGGAGATTAAATCCATGCTTTTGCGCATGCTAACCATGAGCTCTACCTCTGAGCTCATCTTTTAGTTTAACCTGCTTATTACTTCTCTTCTGGCAGCTAGTACTTCTCTTTAAGGTGCTTTATTGTTCATGCATTTAATTTCTCTCTCTCTTCCTCTCCCATTTTTCTTCTCTTCTTTCTTGTCCTGCCCTTTTTTCTCTTTCTTAATGACTAGTTATTTCTACCAGTTCAGTGCATGCCTCTGTGTGTGTGTGTGTGTATGTATGTGTGTGTGTGTTTCTTTTCTTGACTCACCACAAGGTTCAGTTGTCTAGCATTATTTCTGATGATTTCCTCTGATACAATAGGGCTAAATTTCTCAGTGCCCGAGCCGCTGCATGTTCTAGGGGGCTCATTTTGAGAAAAGCAAAGCTCAGCATTTCCCAAATGTCTTACCAGCACAAATTGAAGTTCTGGAAGCTACTTTTGTGAGAATCTTTACAGGGTGTGATTAAAAATATGGAGAATGTGGCTGTTGAGTGCCATCCTATAGAAAGACAGGTTCATAAAATATTATAGTGTGTCCTCACTTACTCACTGGATCTAGAATGTGTGACTTTTGGCTCTTCTCCAAAGTCAAAATGACTGTGAAAGTAACAAGAAGCCAATTCACCCTTTCTATGAGCTGCTGCAAGCCTTGTGAGGACCCGGAGGAGAAATAACCCAATCTGCTTTCCCATGAGCCAACCAGAGCACGGCTGGGAGACAAGAACACCTCCAGACCTTCTGATTTGGAAGACAGGCTGAGTTGATAGCAACTAAGTTACAAAAACAACTTAATGTTTTTATTGTTTGATTGACTTTGTGGGCCTAAAGTTGGTAGTCTGAGCATCTATATAGAGGATAATAGTATACACTATATAAACTATGGAGGATTTCCCTTGGTCTTGTTTTTGAAATCCAGTATTATCCTCACTATTTTGCCTTGTTCCATTTTATTGTTTTGTTTTCTTCAATGTTCTCTTTTGATTGGTTTTATTCTGTTCTGTTTTGTTTGATTTTATTATGTCTGACGGTATGGGCAGCCATTCTAAAGATAACAAGAGGCATGATGGTAACTATTGTTGATTTCCTATTACCTTGTTTTGAAGTCTTGTATCACTTTCACTGTTTTGTGTTGATTGGTTTTATCCTGTTTTATTTTGTTTGGTTCTATTCTCTTTGAAATATGCTTTCATTTTTTGTTTTGGTTGGTTTTATTCTTTTTTGTTTTGTTTGATTTTATTATGTCTGATGATTTGAATAGCTATTTTGAAGAAAACAAGAGACATTATTGTAGTCATTGCTGATTTCCTGTTACCTTGTTTTGAAGTTCTGTATTGCTTTCATTTGTTTTGTTCTGATTGACTTTATTCTGTTTTGTTTTGATTTTATTCTCTTTGAAATAAAAAACATTTTGAATTGTTTCAGGATATAAAGGTAGCCATAACAGTGCAAACAAAGATACTCACCAAAAGGACTTCCAGAACTGCTTCCAAAAGTGGCCAGAACTATGGAAGAAGCGTGTTCAATGGTAAGGGCAGTATTTTTAGAAGGGTAATAGCAATACATCTTTTATTGTAGTAAACTTTTTAGAAATTTAAATAAACACTGTAGTTTTCTGTGACAATGTATATTTCTGCCAAACATCACTTCCAGTCTCCAAGAGACAGTAAATTATGACCAATGGGGCTTAGTCCTCACATCTACTGGTGGTATTGTTAAAATATTAAAAGTTAATTTAAGTTACATTAATAAAGCCCTTTGCTTTATCCCTTTCAGAAAAAGCCAGTTGTCTTGGGACCACAGGTTAGAAACAGTCAGCCCAAATTTTAACCATAGAGGCTCTTGGATATTTATAAATTCAGCTCAAATTGACTTTTTACCCCAATTATGTAATCACCAGTGATGACCTCAGTGACAGTCCATTTGGAGGAAAGTCCCTGGCTTCCTTCAGCTTTTGTTATCATCTGTTTCATGTTTTGTTGGCAGCTTTTCACCAAAATTCTCGAGGGGTTTTGGGCAGCAGAGATAGAAAAGGATAATGAACCAATTAAATGTATTACTTGTTTTCAGTTAAGGTTGAAAGAAGAAAGTGAAACTCCTGAGCAGTGTGCACTGCAGATTCCCATTTGCTGTCTTCTCAGCTTCTGTTGCTGTGAAAAACCAGGACTTGGCCATGTGGCTGCTGGGCATCTGGGCTGACAATGTTGAGGTAGGAGTGAAGTAGTGTTGTGGTCAGCTCTGGGTTTGAAGGGTTGCACTCCTGCTCACTGTTTCTATGTTCTTGACTAAGTCTTCTAAGGCCCAATTTCCTTATCTGTAAAATGAACCAATACTCATCTCAGTGTGAATATGAAGTGAAAGATATGTACAGGGTGCCTGGCCTACAGGAGCCATTTAGTGAAAACTAATTTGTTTCTCCTGAATATTCCTGCTTGGACTGAAGAAATAAAAGTGAGGATCAAGTTAATGAAAAATTAGACCCTAAATCGGTCACCTGGATGCACTTAACTAAGTGGTTTACGTTGTCAGCATCTATATTTCATTATTATTAGCATCTCCTTATCTGAATTCCAAAGTGGTTAAGAGATAGCTTCATTTTGACAGAAAAATTACAGAATTTTGAAGGAAAAAGATGGAACTTGTTACAGAGGCCTCTAGAGGTGGCTCCACCCACCAACTCCTGAAGTATTTTAAATCCAGGTCTCATCATGGTGATGATGGTTGCAGTGCCCTGTGTGTGCATTGTCTCATTTCATTCTCAGCCATAGCAACTCTGTGGGATGGTGGGTTACATGTTATCTCCATTTCTTGGTGAGGAAATTGAAGTGCAAAGAGGGAAATGGATAGCCCAAGTTCACAGTTTCACACTGCTAATCAGTGGGTAGAAAAGATTCAAACACATCTCATGACTCTAGACACCAAGAGATGTTTTACTACTGTGTGTTGCCAGGCATAAGATAATAATTCTACCTTAATTTTGAACAGTCAACTTTAATTTTGTTCTTATTGTTTCAATTCCTTACACAATTACCCATTTCAAGAAGAATTTTAAACTCTACCGTATTAATTTATTAAAGATCAAATTCTGTACTGACAAGATGGCTAGACACCTCTGAGTGTACACTCCCACCCCCACCACTGTAATTTGGATTTTGACTGTCTCTGCAAAGCTGCTGTATTTTTTTTTAAATTTTATTTAAGGAGAAAAAAGAAAAAAAAAAACAGAAAAAGGGTACAAGTTATACAGAATTTCAGAAAAAATAAACAGTAGGAAATCACTAGTTAATTACATATTGTCATCTTAGAAATAGTTGTTCAAGTTACAAATTAAAGCATATAGAGGGGACTTTCAAACAGTGAGACTGCAAACAGTTCTGTTCAATGATCCAACAAAACTCAGTAATATGGTTATCTATTGTTGTAGTCAGGGGTTGTACACAGAGAACAATTCAGGTCAGGACATGGAGTTTATAATATTTTTATAATGGTCACCAGAAGTTAATACAGGAGAAATCAGGAAATCTATCTGCAACTCCAACGACATAGATTATATAAGTCAAGAGCCTAAACCCCAAGGCAATGTCCCACATGAGTCCAGATAAAAACCCAGAGCTCAGGACAACACCTCCACGAGTCCAACTGCAAGTCCAGGGCCTACAAGGACTCACACCAGTCTCTTTTACGGATTCGTGCCGGGAAGACCCAAGGGTCAGCGGTGGAAGCCAGAAAGTCTATGCCAGCAGGATGAAGGAGCTGTGCTAGTGGGATGAGGGTTCTACGCTGAAGCTGAGAAGTCACTCTCACAACAAAGAGTGGGGCTGTCCTGAAAGGCACCACTGCTGTCCTCAGCGACACGGAGGCCCCAAGCTCCTCCGACAACAAGCACAGTCGAGTACGTGCCAGGAAGCAGCATGACGAGTTCATCCTGGAGACCAAGCAGCACATGTCTTCCCCTCCGGAGCCAGGAAGCAATGCTCATGTGAAAACCAAAGCTCCAGGAGAACCAACAGCTCAGACAGCAACTTGTAGGAGAACTAACAACGCCTCCATAACGCCTCAATCCCTCTCCACACCTCCCTTCTTCTCCACCTATTTATCCTGGCAACCCTCCTCAGGTGGAGCATCTTCTTTCAATACATGCTGATGTAATCCAGCTGGCGTTAAGTTGACCACTAGTTATCGAATCATAACATCTATCTTATACACTTAAATATATATGCAGTTATATCCTTTAGAGCACTTTCTTTTCCTTTCTTTTGTACAATGACAATTACACATTTTGGGTTTTATAACTCCCACAGTTCTTATTACTTTTTTTTTTTTTGAAGAAAGTAAAACCAAATGTGATATAACAGGACAGAGTCAGTCAAATCAAAAGGATGGACATAATACATAATATAAAAACAAAATACAAGATTATCAACAATGGTTACCATAATTCCTCTTGTTATCTTAAAAAGAATTGCCTATATCATCAGTTATAAGAAAATTGAACAAAACAGTAAAGAATAAGACCAATAAAACCAAAACATTGGAGACATTAGAGGACTTCAAAAGAAGATAATAGTCAACCAGAATGGGCATCATAATGAATCTTATTGTCTTCATAGTTGTTGCCTATACTTTCGAACTTGGTACTATCAAGCATAACAGAACAGAGGAAAATCAGTCAAAAAATTGATGGTGAGAGCAATACAGGGTTTCAAATCAAGTTAACAGGAAATCACAGTGGGTTACTATAATATATCCTGCTATTTTTTATTTATTTTACCTTAATTAAAAGGATAAAAACAAAAAAGTAGATAATTAAAAGGATAAAATTAAAGAAGTAGATAATAAAAAGGAGATTGAGATAAAAAAAGGGGGGGGGGCATAACAACAAAACAGCACAGGTCAGAACACAGCAATTTAAGCAAAATAGTGTTTCACCACAAGATAATCTCGACCTAAAAGTAGTTACCATAGTGTCTCTTTCCTTGAAATCTTTGAGTATAACTTCGTATACTGTAGCATCAAACATATCAAGAAAATGTAAAACCGTTCAAGAGAATGATAGTATTACAGAGTATTTAGAACCAACAGATAATGAACAATGGTTTCTGTATAATCTCCTTGTGTATAAGAGTTTTTGTTTATATTATCACATATAATAAAATCCAATAAGATACAACAGGTTAAAACCGATGGAGATAGAAAAACAAAAGCTTGATGGGACTTCAAAACAAGAGGATATTTTTTTTTTTTTTTAGATAGCAGAGGCTTTATTTTCTCCTTACAGTCATAGAAGCTAAAAGTCACAGATCAAAGTGTTGACAGGGTTGGTTCCTTCTGCAGTGAAGGATCATTTCCCCTTGGTTTGCACTTTAGATCTTTTTTTTTTTTTTTTTTTTATTTAAAGAAAAGGAAACGAAAAAAGAAAAAAAATACATGGAGATTAAAAAAAAGGGTAGAAATAATACTAAATTACAGACAAACAAAAGGTAAGAAATTGCCGGTTGATAAGTTACAAATTGTCATCTTTGAAATGGCTGTTCAGGTTATAGAATTAAAGTATTTAGAATGACATTCAAAAAAGTGACCCTACAAACCATTCTGCTCTATGGTCGAACAAAAGCTCTGTAATATGATTATCAGTCCCACCTATTTGTTTTACATCTCTAAGAGGGTAAGGTTAACCATATCAAAACAGAACAGAACATTTAAAAAAAAATAAAAAATAAAAAACAATTTAAAGAAATACAGATTTCAAAGCAAGTCCACTGGAGATCTACCTTATCTAACTGTCTCTAGCTTCTTACAAATAGTTGTCCCTAACTTCACCCACTTTATATACTTATTGCATATTATAGAACTAATCAAATCATTACAGGATGATGGAGTCTTTTTAGGTCCTCAAGTTCCAAATTAGGGAAGACAATAGCAACTACCATCGCATCTCTCATTCTCTTTGTGATAGCCGTCCCCATCTCTGCATATGCTGAAGTTGAGCTGAAGAAACCAGTCCAATGTCATTCTAATCAGCAAGCAATAGATTGCTAGAATTTATATTATAATGCTACAAAATAAGCCTCGGGTTTTTCAGGTCTCTTCCTCAGAGTATTTGTTCCTATCCTCTCTGTATTATAGGGAAAACCAAGTCATAACAAGACAGCGAAACAATTTCCTAGAAAAACATGCAATGGATAAGACTTATAAAACTATAATATAAATGATCTTCCGTAGCTACTATGTTTTCTCTTGTTATTTTCAATAGATTAAAACAAGAGGATATTAAATCAGCACTACCTATTATGATGTCTTGTTTTCTCCAAAATGGCTGTTCCTACCATCCAATCTGCCTCATTTCTGTTGAGCTCTTTTCCTGTCATAAGTTGTCAGTTTGTCTTCTTCATTTTGCTTTCTGCTCCATTCATTGTGGCCGCTCTGCCACTGTTTCTGGAATCTTGGTATTTTTCATTTTTGGAATATCCTGCAGTAATCTCTTAGAGTTGAATTGATGGTTGCAAATTACCCTCGTTCCTCTCTATCCTGGAAGCACCTTGTTTTTCCATCAATTTCTAGGGACAGTCGTGCAGGATATATCAATCTTGGCTGGAGGTTATTATCTTTCAAAGCTTGAAGTATTTCCCCCCATGCTCTTTGTGATTTGATGGTTTGTGCCGAGAAGTCTGCTGTAATTCTGATGGGTATTCCCTTGTAAGTGATCTGTTTCTTGTCTCTGACGGCATTTAATATTCTGTTCTTATATTGGATTTCTGGAATTTTGATTATTATATGCCTAGGTGTAGTTCTGTTTGGGTTGTAGGAGGCTGGGGTCCTATATGCCTCATACATCTGAGTATCTTTACCTTTTGCTAAATTAGGAAAATTCTCCTGGATTATTTCTGTGAATAGCTTTTGTAGTTTATTTGTTTGTGTCCCTACTTCTTCTTTTATATTCTTAATTCTTAAATTATAGATCCTCTAATCATCTTCTAAACTTCGTATTATTGCTGTTTGTTTTCTTGTTATTTTTAAGAAGTTTTGCATTTCATGCTCCCACCTTACAAATCTGTCCTCCAGTTCTGATAATCTATCCTTAGTTTCTTTCAAGCTGTTATGCCAGCTTTCAATAGAGTTTTTAGTTTCCTGGTAATCTCTTTGAACCTGCTTCACGTATTCTATGCTTTCTCTATTTTCTCCATCAAACAATTCTCCCCTTTTTTTCTGTTCTTCCATTCCACCATCTGTTTTTTCTTGGGCGGTGCTTAGCATTTCTCTAACTATTCTACTTATTTCTGAACTCATCTATGAAGCTCCGGAGATACCGCTTTATGTCTATTTGGTGCCGTGTCTGATATTGTATGTTTTCTGTCTTCATTCTCTTTTGCATTGATCTTTCCTGGATCAGTGTTCTCAGGATTGGGGACTGAGGACCCTTTCTTGTTGCTCCCTTTCCCCATACTTTTTGTTCCTTCCATACAAGCGTATTTAGGAGGCCCAGTTTTTTTTTTTTTTTTCTCTTTGTCTGTTACAGTTTGTTTCAATTTGTTGGCTAGGTGTTCCTGCCCACTGCAGTGTACTAGGGAGACACAGACCTGGGCAGCCTCTGCTGGGCCCATCCCTCCAGATCAACCTAGTGAAGGCTTCACTGCTAGGGTGCACCACCAGGTGCAGGGACCTGATTTGGGCTAGCCTTCTGGATGCTAGTCCACAGCATCACCAAGCCAAGTGCTCCCCACCAATCCCGCTTGAGAGGGGAATATGTGACTAAAGTCACTGCAGGCCCCTGTTCCGGCTAGTCTGCCCATTCCCAGAATGTCCTCTGTTGGAGCCTCCTAGTCTATGAAATGGTCCCCATTTTTCTCACTCACTGCAGGTCGATGCAGGGCTCCCTGCCAGTCCTGCTCTCAACACCAACTTTTTACAACTTTTTGCTCTTGCCAACAGTGCCACTGAGAACATTCTGGGCTACTCCTTGCACAGTAATTCAAGCACTGAAGACATAAGCATCACAAGAACCAGATGTGGGAAGTGATGACATTCGGTTTCTGTCCTGAGACCACCTATAGATATGAAAAGCACCAATGTCAGAAACCTCATTTCCAAAAGCCAAGCTCCTGCTTACTCTTCATTTTTACCACTTTATTGTACTGAAATCGCACAATTTTTGACTTACCTTTTCTCTACCCAAAGGTACCACAGTATTGGTAGAACAAGGCAAACGCACTGTGTGACTAAAGTGCATAGGGGTAGGCCTGTACTTTGCATCATTATCTCAGAGGATAAAGTTGAAATTCTCCATATTCTGTCCTAGACATTGTAGGAGGCTATTGATTTACATGACCGTAGGCTCTTGGCAAAGAGTTCCCTTGGTGGTGGCTGTTCAAGACAGCTCATTCCTTGGTTCTGTCATCATGGTGAGGACATGAAATCCTCTCTCATTCACTGTACAGAACCTCAGTGGGCCTCAGCAGATAACTGGCTTGCTATCAGAGCACAGTAAGCTCAGGTGACCAGCTGCCTTTTATAAATTTTTTTGCCACCCAGTTTGGTGATGCACCATCAAGGTGATTTTGTGTTGCTTTTTCTGTGTCTATTTCTTCTCTCCTCCTCAGCTAAGTCAGATTTTCTCTCTCACTAAAACCACAGCTTGGTCACTGGATATTTGATCTTCTTTCAGTCATATGCTTCTCTCTTGCCTAGTCTTCTGTGCTAAGGAGCAAAATCACATGATAGCAGCCTTAGATGTAAGAAATTTCAAAGAGAGGGCCCACAAATGTCTCAGAGAGTAAAGTTGCTGGCAGGCATTTTGCATGCTGGTCAGGTGTACCTGGAAAGAGCATCTTGCTAAAACCTTTGTCAGGAAACCTCTTGTCAGTATTTCCAGCTCACAGGAGCAATCACTAAGAGGGGGCTACTTAGATACCATCTGATATAGCGTGTTTCTCAAAGCAGTAAATAGCTCAAACTGAAGTGCACTTCCGGTTGTCAATTTTTTACAAACACCCTGGAACTCAATGACTGTTCTTGAGGATCGATATGGTCTGGTGACAGTGAATTGATTGTTCCAGCAGAGATCTTTAATGAGATTGTTCACACTATTCAGGAACCGCCATCTCCTGCAGATTACAATGACAATGTTAGAACGTTGTGAATAAGGAAAGCAAAGCGACCTTCCTGCTCATTTCTTTTTGAAAGTACCAACCCTCAGCAGCAAGGCCTTCTTGTTAATTAGTAGTTAATTATTGGGACAGCTCATGAAATGTTTTTTAAAGAGCTGGTCTAGTGGCAAAGAAAAGAGTCGAGCAAGAGACTGGATTAAAGTGAATAAAAGGAGTAAAAAGCTTTTATGCAGTTGACTGGCACCAAGGAAATTCTAGCAACTTACCCTTCTGGTAGAAGATGAAAAGTAATGTAAAAACACAGAGTAAACAGACTAGAGCACTTGAAAATTTAATAGATGAGTAGAATTGGGCAGAAGCTTAGTAACACTTTCCCTTATTTTGTAGATTATGAAACACTTGTAGCACAGCACAGATGAACTACCAAAGATCACATTTTTAGTTGGTGTCTCTGTTCAATCCAGAGAACTCACTACCTGTTGAAGGTGAATGTTGGAGCATGTGCCACTCTGCACAAAGGACAGCTCATCATTTTTCTCTTTGTCCTTAAGTATGGCCACACATATAATAGTGAAAGCAACACAAAGCCAGATTTCCAATTTTCCTTATTAATTTTTAACTTATATTCCAAACTGCATCACTTTTTTTTTAAGACAAGGTCTAAGTGCCAGACTAACCTTGAACTCATTAGCATCTCAAGTCTGTAGCATTGCTCCTATCTCAGCCTCTCAAGTGCTGGGATTATAGACATACACTGCAACAACCAGCTAACAGTATACTTCTGACGCATTATAAATTAATGCTTTAAAAGTAAATTCTGTTATTGTGTGAAAAATTATACTGTACCAGTTACTTACTTATTTTTCTGTGAAAAGTTAATTTGTTATATGTTTACTTTAATATACCACAGTTTATATAACCTTAATTTTGGCATTTAGAAAAATATTTTTCTTAATGTTTTGCATATTTTAAAAAATCTGCAAAAATAGAAGTGGCCCACTTCCCTCAAAACCTCTTAGAAGTCTCATTCATTTCTCTATACTCTCTGGCTTTAGAATAGCACTTTCACAAGGGATTTATAGTTATACAGAATTAAGGTTATTGTTTTCTTAAAAGCTGTGCATGCTGTGTTGCACATCTGTAGTGCTGGACTATGGGACCTAGAATGCTGCCATCCATCTTTCAGGTACAGAATACTTGGACATTCTTTTGGATAAGTTCTTAGGAAAAAGCCATTAATATTTTCACTCTCCATGTTACCATAGTTATGATTTATACCTAGATGTCTCCTAAGAGACTCATATACTCACAGACAGAGCTTTTAAAAGGCAATTAGATTATGGGGTGGTATAGCTAACTTGCTATTAGGAGGTTAGGTCTGGTCAGATGTGTGGGTAACAGGCACATAGTTTGAAAGGGTATGTTTCCTTTCCTGGTTCCTCACTTTATACTGTCTGCTTCCTAAACACCATGAAGTGAGCTGCTTTTCTTCACTCAAGTGCTTCCATTATAGTTTCTATATTTGAACCTGCCAAACATAAACTGAATCTTCTAAAATATGTACCAAAGCACACCTTTTCTGAAAATTGCAACTGATGGACATTTTGCCCTAGTGACAAGGAATGTGACTAAACAGATTTTTGGTATTGAGAGTGGGGTTGTTTCTGTGATGCTACCTGCTCATGTAATTTAGAAGCCTTTGGAGATGGTTCAAAGGAATAATTTGAAACAATATGAAGAAGCTGGGTGGAGAACCCCTAGATTTCTGTGGGCTGAACCCAAAGGGAGATTCTCATCAAACTTAGAAAACTAGAAAGCTGATATAAATGCAAATTGTAAAATAAGTATAAAAACTCCACTGATAGTTGGATTCCAGGCCATGGGTGCATGCCCTGGCAGAAAACTTGTTTACATTTTGCTCATGTCCCAAGACTGTAGGAGGTTGAAATTAGGATGATAATTAATAAATCTGGTAGAGAGAATTTCAAAGCAACCCATTGTTCAGACTGTGGTATGGGTATTATTCATTGGCTTTAGAGAGATCTACAACAGGGAACTGAAGCGAAAAAGCCATTTAAAAAGTTTTCAGTTTCCTCCAGAAAGAAAGCACCTACAAAATTGGAGAAAAGAATCTTTTGACGAAAAGTTTAGTATTGAAAAAAATCCAAGTACTTTAAACAGAGCCACAGGAAAAATGCCTTGGAGACATATGAAGTTCAGCAAGACTCCATCCTTCAAAGGCTCAAGGGTAAAAAAGTTACTTTGCTTTGAGAAGAGAGCCCTGGGGTATCATACTGGAGAGGGGCACTATAAGGAGTTGGTCACCTCCAATCCACTTCCTGGTGCATAGTCATTCAGGCACTTCAACATCTCTGTGACTATGATTCAAGAGGGTTTTGTTATTGCCTGAGTTGGTGACAGATTTTGGCATCATTCAGATGGTGCTGGTTTTATAGGTATGCATAATGCAAGAGTTGTGGGATCAGGGAGGCTTCCACCAAGATTTCATAAGAAGGCCTGAAAGGCCAGCCAGTGTGCTTCTGAAAGGGAAGTATATGAAGCTTCAAGAGTAAAGCCAATAGTACAGTGGAGACCTTAGGAATTTGGAGAAGACAGGAATGTGTGACAACAGTTGAGAAATGCCACAGGCAATAAGCAGAGGTGCCCCAAGGGAGAGGTCATATATGGGTATAGCTGGTAAAGCTGAAGGTAAGACTATCTAAGCCATTTGGAGTTCACATCTCATCACTTTATCTTGTCTAGTGACTTGTCCCTGGAATAAGGGATGCACCACATAACGTCTAGTGACTGGTCATGGAACTATAGGATTTAATGTGTACCTTGACAGATTTTGGTCTTGCTTTGGTCAGATTTCTTTCTACCCATCTAGTCATCCATTTTGGAATATGACTTTTTATCATATGCCATTGTATGTTGGCAGCATTTGACTTTTACAGGGTTCATGGCTAAGAATTTGCCTAAGTCTCAGAAGAAACTTTCAAGTTGAACCCGGCAATAATGGAGCTAGTAAGACTTTAGTGGCTCTTAGAGATGGACTAAATGTATTTTGTATAATGAGACACAAATGAGTCCTTTTGGGGTCAGGGACATGAGATTTTGGCTTATATTTAGATGCCCCCAAAAGCCTTTTGCAGTGAGAAAGAAAATCATGAGATTGTGATTGGTAGCAAAATTCAGTCTCTTCAAGATTTAAAATCCAGGCTCTGAAAAATAACAATTTGTTGAAGAGAAAAAGAGAAGTAGATTGCTGGGAATTGGGAAAGAACTTACAGGAAAAATTAGAAGCCACAGGAAAGTTGGAAAGATATCTACATGTAAAAAAAAAAAGAAACAATTTGGACTCTCTCTATGGCTTTTGTGAGGGACAGGAACCAGGCTCCCCAGAAACAAGGTAAGCACAGAGGGCCAGAAGATCCAGGGAGAAATAGCAGCAGAACCCACAGCCTTTGTGAACTGCAAAAATGACATGGGTTTTTTTCCTCCAAGGGAATTCCTCCCACACAGCAGGCAACACCTCAAGCATAGGTACTTTCTGCAACACCAGAGAGTGCTTGTACAAGCATCATTTCAGGAAGGGGTTGATTATTTAAATCTGAGGCTCAAAATAACTAAAAAACAACTTCACTTCAGGCTCCCAGTGTTACCCTCCCACAGTGACTTGTGATAGACAGCCATAGTAGGTAATAGCTGGACAAGGAGCAGGCTAGGAAAAGGTTCTCTGAGAAATTTAGACTCAGGCCAAGAAGGACACAGGTGCTGCACCTCCACTCCTTCACCCCATGAGAAACCAAGCCTGGACTGAGTTGTGCTCAGAACTGTCTGGGTCTGAAGTACCTGTAGGCATTAAATACTTGAACCCTTTCCCTGATGCCTATATCCAACACAGATCTAAGATATGATTGCCTTCTCTATCCATCAACATGCGAAAGGACATGTTTCAGGGTGTACACTGCTGTGGCCTGGGGATAAGCAGGTTCTCTGGAATAGGGGGTGTACCACATAAATCCAAAGTCCTTAAGGCTAGGCAGAGAAAACTGATACTTGCTGGACGCCAAAATTGCAGACTTTGGAAACTACCCATTCAAATTACAGAGAGGAGTTTTCTGTTTTAAGACTCATTTTCTTTCTTTCTCCTAACCTTTTTTGTCTTTTCCTTTTAATATTTCTCTATTTTTATTCTTTATGTTATCTTTTTTCAGGATTTTACTTTTATCTTCTATTTCTCACTTTTTTCCCCGGTACATTTATTTCTATAAATAGCCTTCCCCATAATAGAATCCTTGGTCTTGTTTTTCTTTCCTTCTTGTTTCCCACTGCTTAATTTTTCAAATTTTTATTTAATTCTGTTATTCCCAACCTCTATATTTTAATAATATAACAATTAAGTTTTACGAATCATATAGTTAACTCTGTTATCATTTCAATCATTAATTCTTTTTAGTCATTCATTGAGGTATAATTTTTGCATTTAGTAGGTATTTCTCATGTGTCAGCAGAATTCATGCTATAATTGAAGATTTCTCTTTTATGATAAATGGGGGTATAGCATTGGGTTTATTTATTTATTAATTCATTTATTTTGGTACTGGGGATCAAACTTATGACCTTGTGCTTTCCAAGCAGGCAGTTATGCTGCTGAGCTATATTCCCACCCCACATCATTGGTTCTTATGATATGTCAATCCAGTTTGTCTTGGATGATATTACTTATGGCTGATTTACTTGATACTTCCAGGGTCACATAATTGTTGCTATTAATAGGTTTCTCTGTATGGCTATACCTGGAAAGTCATTGTGACATTAACAATACCATAGTCAATTCCTGGATAACTGATTGCTGGGCCACTTATACTGTGTCCCTCTCTCCCATATTGATAGAGGTGATCAGATCTTGGGATGGTGCAGAGGACTGTATTTAGCTATGCCCTTGAGTAATTGAAAAAGAAGACTAAAGAGATCTTCACACAAGCAACAAA